AATCATGGAAAAAAAGCCATAAATTCTATGTGCTGTATTCCCCTAGCGCTGGAGTTCTGCCGTTCTCATTGATCGGTAGACTTGGTCTTGGCTGGCTGTTCTTGCTGATCTTCTGGGCGAGGGGCCAGTTGTGGTGGTTCTCAGATGTCTTTGCCAGAGGCGGAATTGCCCCACCCTTGCCAGTCCGGGTAAGTAATCTGCTCGGGTTTGCTCTCAGGAGCTTTTGTTCCCTGCAAGCTCCGTACAGCTTTGGAGGACAAGAGTGAAAATGGAGGCCTCCCAATCTCTGACCCAGAGGAGCCGAGAACTTGGGGCCCCACTCCTCAGTGCACCCCCAGAGAAAAGCAGTCGATCACTCCTGTCTCCCCGGTCTCCGGCCACACTCCGTGCTCACCCGCCTGTGACCAAGCATTTCTATCTCTGACACACGACCCCGTTTGGAGTCTCCAAACCCGGCAGATCCCTGCAGTGCACTCCTGTGCCACTCCTCCCGGGGAAGGTAGGGGAGTCTCCCCGGATCTGCCGCTTGTTGGGTCCCTGCTGGAAGAGCAGTGGCCCGACTGTGCCGCAGATCACAGTTTATGGCAACCCCGAGCTGAGGGCCCACTCCTCAGCTCCGTCTCTACAGCCGGCTTCCCCGCTCTGATACCTGGGAGCTCTGCTGCACTCAGGCACCCTCGGATTTTCTGTGACCCCGAGGGTCCTGAGACCACACTGTCCCAGCGAGGGTTCTACCCCCCCACTCAGCCACTGGAGCGACATCCCTCAGCAGAGTCGACTACCAAAATTTCCAATTTTGTGCTCCGCTGCTCTATCACTTGCCTGTAGCGGCTGATGGAGGCCCCCTCCCCCACTATCTATCTTCCTGAAAATTGCCTCAGATTTACTTCTCTGCACGTCCTACCTTCCAGAAAGTGGTCGCTTTTCTGTTCAGAGAGTTGCTGCTATTCTTTCCTTCGATCTCCTGTTGAGTTCGTAGGTGTTCAGAATGCTTTGATCCCTATCTAGCTGAATTCCTGGGACCAGATGAAATTTAGGTCTCCTACTCCTCCCCCATCTTGCTCCTCCCCTGCTGGACCTCTTTTCTCTTTCTATTTATATTCATTACCTTGATGGTCACTAGTCTCAAGGCTTTAAATACAATCTATGGACTAAACACTCCACATTTATATTTCCAGTCGGGACTTTCCCCTGAACTCCAGATTCATATATCTAACAACCAATTTAGCATCTCCACTTAGACATCGAAGTCTATTAAACATATCTACAAATGAACTCTTGATCTTCACCAGCAAAACTGGATTTTCCCAAGTCTGTCCTATCTCCCTAACAACCTCATTTTCCAAATACTCAGGCGTGAAACCTTGGTGTCTCCTTCTCTCTTATACCATACAACTAACCTGTCAGCTAATGTCTGTGTTCTAACTTCAAAATACAAAATTACTATTCCTTTTTTTTTTTCATTCTCTATTTTCTGCTGCCTACCACCTAGTCCAAGTCACATTTTTTCTCTTGCCTGGTTCATTGCAACAGCCCCTAAATTAGTCTCACTGTTCTGCTCTAGGTGCCTATAATCTATCACAGCAGCCAGAGTGACCCATTAAAAACGTAACTCAGATTAGGGTGCCTGGCTGGCTCAGTCAGTAGAGCATACAAGTCTTGATCTCAGGTTTGTAAGTTTGAGCCCCACATTGGATGTAGAAATTACTTAAAAATAAAATCTTAAAAAAAAATAACTCAGATTATAACTGCTAAAATCTTCCAGTGGCTTCCTATCTCACAGTAACAACCTAGTCATACAATGAGATACAAGCCAGACAAAATCTGTCCCTCCTCCCCAGTCTTTCTGGCCTCATCTCTTCTATTCCTCTTCTGACTGACGACTCCTGCAAAAAAGTTCCCACCTCCAGGACTCTGCAATTACTTTCCCTCTACATAGAATCTTCTTCCTTTGGACGTGTGGATAGCCACATGATCTGCATTGAATGATTTCCTTATCTCTTGCAAGTGTTATCTCATAAGTCACCTCATCTTAGTGAGGCCCTTCCTAATAACCTTATTCAAAATTGCAACCTCCCCATCCCTAGCACACCCTATCTCCCTTCCTGATTTAATTTTCTCCATAGGCACTTTCCATCTTTTAAAACACTATTTGGGGGTGCCTGGGTGGCTCAGATGGTTGGGCGTCTGCCTTCGGCTTGGGTCATGATCTCAGGATCCTGGATCGAGTCCCACATCAGGCTCCTTGCTTAGCAAGGAGGCTGCTTCTCCCTCTGCCTGCCACTCCCCCTGCTTGTACTCTTCCTCTCTCTCTCTCTGGCAAATGAATGAATAAAATCTTTAAAAAAAAAAACAAAACACTATTCGGTTTACTTATTATTGTCTGCTGCTTTCCACTATAATTTTTGTTTGTTTTGTTTATCGACATCTCCCCAGCACCAAAAACATACCAGAATATTATAGATACTCACTAGTTATAGAATTGCATGAATGTAACACATTAGTGATTAAAATGAAAAATTATTAACACTGTGATGCAGTGGTTCCCAATTTTGCTACAGATTAGAATCACCTAGGAAGCTTTTTTAAAGAAATTGTAAAGTAGGGGCACCTGGATGGCTCAGCCAGTTATGCATCTGACTCTTGATTTCAGCTTGGGTCATGATCTGAGGATTGTGAGATCCAGCCCTGCACTGGGCTCCACACTGGGCATGGAGTCTGCTTAAGATTCTCTTTCTCTCCTTCTGCCCCACCCCCAACTTTCGCTCTCAAAAAAAAAAAAAATCATAAAGTACGAGTCACACCTCATACAAATTAAATCCAAATGTTTAGGAATGGAAGCCTGATGTCAATATTTATTATTTTTTTATAGTTTAATTTTTTTTAGTAATCTCTACACCCAGCATGGGACTGGAACTCATGACCCTGAGATCAAGAGTCACATGCTCTTCTGACTGCACCAGCCAGGCACCCCCATATTTCTTAAAAGATTCAGTGTGTAGCAAAGCTTGGTAACTATTGCTGTACATTCTCAACCCTACAAGTACATCAGAATAATCTGCACAGCTTTCATAGAAATATCTGATGCCCAAGGCGCCTCTCTATTAGACTCTGAATAAACTGGTTTATGGTGGGGCCTGATCTTCAGTTTTTTTTGTTTTAAGTTCTGAAGGTGACTTTAATGTACAGACCAGGTTAAGAATGACTCACATTATCAAAGGATGCACTGATCCAGCCATGGCTTCCTACTCACATAAATATGAAAAAAGAATCATTTTCAATAAAAATTTGATTTATGCCAATGTTACAACCCAAGAAACATATCATGTTAGATAATCTACTTTTATTAGAATCACAGAACATAAATTATTAATTTTCATTTTGGATTAATTGAACCAGTATTTGTGAAATACATTTTTTATTAAGGGGAGTTAGTCCTAATGCATCCATCAAGATAATCACAATGGCAATAAAAACCAGAGTGCATTGGCTTTTTTGGACTTATGCTGGACATCAAGGGAATCACTAGAATTGTAAGCCCCATGAGGGCAGGGAATTTTGTCTCCTGCACACAAAATAAAATAGTGCCTAGCACATAGAGGCCACAAACATTTATTTAAGGAATGAAGGATGACAGTAATAGGAAGCAACACTATTATATATGGAAAATAATCCACTGTTCCAACACAGCCCATGTATTTTAACTTACCCTACTTCCAAAAAAAGAATTGAAGCAGCTCAAAATAAAGGTATTAAAGCATAATAATCATTAACTTACTGACAGAAGATATACAACCAAAAAAAAAAAGAAAGAATAATTCTGTGGAGCTATCTTAAACTAAAATTACTATTTTTCTGTGTAGATTTTATAAAGTTGTAACCAATGCCCGCAAATTTTGAAAATATATGTTGTGTTTTTCTAAGATTTTATTTATTTATTTGACAGAGAGAGACACAGCGAGAGAGGGAACACAAGCAGGGGGAGTGGGAGAGGGAGAAGCAGGCTTCCCGCTGAGCAGGGAGCCCGATGCGGGGCTCGATCCCAGGACCGTGGGATCATGACCTGAGCCAAAGGCAGATGCTTAATAGCTGAGCCACCCAGGCACCCCTGAAAATATGTTTTCACATATTTTATTTATTCATTTGAGAGAGAGACAGAGACAGAGAGAGCACAGAGAGACAGAGCGAGAGGGAGAAGCAGGCTCCCTGATGAATAGGGAGCCTGATGTGGGGCTCAATCCCAGGACCCTGGGATCATGACCTGAGCCGAAGGCAGACACTTAACCGACTGAGCCACCCAGGCACCAGAGAATATTTTTACTCAATGTTATAATAGCAAGAATTTTTATGTTCCTACATTTTTTACAAATATCTATATAATATTTAAGCTGGTATGATTTAGCAATTCCTATATTGTTGGACATTTCGATTGCTTCTGATTTTCTATTTATAGAAACAGCACTACAAAAAAATATTCATGATTTTTGTCTTCTCTTAGATAATTTTATCCATTATTTATGACTCTTTTTTTTAAAGCACTCTTTTAAAAAAATTATTTATTTGAGAGCAAGAGAGATAGAACAAAAGAGAGCACAAATGGTGGAGAGGGAGAAGCAGGCTGCCCACAGGGAGCCCGATGTGGGGCTTGATCCCAGGACCCTGGGATCATGACCTGAGCTGAAGGCAGCCACTCAATGGACTGAGCCACCCAGGCACCCCCATTATTTATGACTCTTAATATGTGTTATCAAATTGCTTTCCCAGGATTGCACCCTAACATTTTCCTGTAGGCTATACCAGCCTCATTCTATAGTGAATACTAGAGTTTCATTGATGTACTGCTTTTTCCTCTCTTTTAAGAAGAACCTTTATTATAGGAAATGTAGGAGAAAAACATAAAGATAGAAAATATACATGACCTATAATTTCATGATTCACAGATAACCTTATTAAAATTGGGGCACATATCCTTACTATAATTTAAGAGTAGCAAAACTTACCATCTTCATATTGTTTTTTCCGAGTTGTACTTTTATCAAGCGATCCATCTAAAAAGCCTTTGCCAATCTCAGACCAAACCTGAAAATAGGAAAACATACTTATTATCTAGTAAAGTAGACTTTCTAAGTAATACCAAGCAATCTAAGCCAATAATTGAGAAATTCCTATCTTACCAACAGATCTGATAATTAAGTTCTCCCTTTTAAGTGGCCTGCATAATGATTTACTCCATAGTCTCAGAGGATAGAGTGCAAGTATATTTTAATAATTTCAGTCAGGGCACTTTAAAACTAATTATAACTAGAAAGTCAAACGTTTCTTTTCTTTAAAAGATGTAGGAATGGGGAAGAAAAGGACGTGGCAATAGAGTCAATTTTCAATTTTTTACTATAACAGCACCAGTGGATGAATAAAATTCACAGGGAAATCCAAATTTTTACTTCACCTGTGATACTGATAAGCACTGGCTGAGAACCAGAAAAAAGGTTAAAAATTAGTCTAGGGTATAGAGATAGTATACAATAAAACAGGCTTCCAGTTGTTTCAAAACTAGATAATTAGCCCCTGAAAAAAACTTTAGCTTATTTAAAAGTTGTGAAAGAATGTAGGGAAAGAATATAACACTCATTAATCAATGCTAAATATTTGAATAATTATTAATAGTAAGAGTCCTTAACTCGTACCTTACAAAATACCTTACACATTTTTTAAATGTGAAAAATTAAACTATTAAAATTACTGTGAAATGTATAGTAAATGTTTATATTAGGAATACCCCTAAAGCAGGAAAGGAGTTTCTTTTTTTTTTTAAGATTTTATTTATTTATTTGAGAGAGCGAGTGAGTGCGCATGAGTGGGGGGGAGGGGCAGAGGGTGAGGGAGAAGCAGACCACCCCACTGAGCAGGGAGTCCAATGTGGGGCTCAATCCCAGGACCCCAAGATCATTACCTGTGCAGATGCTTAACTGACTGAGCCACCCAGGAGCCCCGGGAAAGGAGTTTCTAAGCATGACACAGAGCAGAAGGCATAAATTAATGATGAGAAAGCTGAATTCATTTAGCAACTCCATTCCAATGAAAAAAAGCTGAACAGACTGAAAAATCAACAACTCTTCTTGGACCCTAAGACAGGAGAGGACCCAGGGTTTAAAGAAACTAGGGAAAACAGGAAGACAGGAAAGGGCCCCAGATTAAAGAGACAGGTGAAATCAGGGAGTTACCTCTTACCGAAGCAGAGACCCACAAGCAGAAACCACCTCAGGAACCAGTCCTGGGGTAGGAAAACCTGATCTGTAATTAACAAATAGCTGGAGGTTCAGTATACACAACTCTGAGAATTAAAAACTCCAGGGAGACCCAATCATAGTCCTAACCCCCGCCCCCAAAAATATTGTGAGATTTACCTTTAAGAGCTCAACCAGGTTCCCACAGTAAATAATGAAGAAACTCCCCCTTGGGCTTCTAGCAGGGAAGCTTGAAAAAAATTTCCTTGAAAAAGGACCTAATTTGAAATAAACCAGAGCACTCTGTTCTTAACAAGGCCTGCCCTCAGAGCCTAACCTGCTGGGGTTTTGTCAGAGCCTAACTGCCTAGGAGAAGGGAAATAGCCAACTCCAGTCAGGGCTAGCGTTTCATGTGGAAGAAGGAAGAAGGAAGCCATCCTGTCCCACCCAAATGGGGAGGGGGAAACAAAAACTGAGAAACACTTATGAAGTTCACGATCCAGAGGCACAGGCTCACTAAAAGACTGACACCTAATCATAGGACTGTGGGATGCTTCCCCTTTCCTCACACCTCACCATCACATTACTAAAGGCGTATTTACACCAGTTTCTTTTACCCAGTTTGTCCAGGGATCAATAAAAAAATTACAAGGGATACCAAAAGGTAAAAAATACAATTTGAAGAAACAGAGCAAGTATTAGAACAATATATGGAGGGGACACTGGAATTATCAGATGAAGAACTAATTAATTAATTAATTTAGAGCATGCGAGAGGGGGTGGGGGGGAAGTTGGGAGGACGGGCAGAGGGAGAAAGAGAATCTCAAGCAGGCTCCACGCCCAGCACGGAGCCTGACGTGGGGCTTGCTCTCACAACCCAAGACCATGACCCGAGCCAATACCAAGAGTCAGATGCCCAACTGACTAAGCCACCCAGGTGCCCCCAGGAATTTAAAACAACTCTGCTTAATATGCTGCTAAGGGTTCTAAAGGATCCTTAGGTAAAGGATAAAGCACACAGCATGCAAGAACAGATAGGCAATGTAGGCAGAGAGATGGAAATCCTAACCACCAGAAAGAAATGTTAGAGATAAAAAACACTGTAGCAGAAATGAATGCCTTTTGTAGGCTTATTAGTACACTGGTCACAGCTTAGTAAAGAACCTCTGAGCCAGAGGATACATCAATAGAATCCTCAAAAACCGTTTCTTACAAAATTAAACATACTCTTACCAGCAATCACACCTCTTGGTATTTACCCAAAGGAGCTGGAAACTTATGTCCACACAAAAACCTGCACACAGCTGTTCACTGCAGCTTTGTTCATAACTGCCAAAACTGGGAAGCAACCAAGATGTCCTTTAGTAGATGAATGGATGAGCTGTGGTACATCCACACAATGCAATACTATTCAGTGCTAAAAGAAATGAGCTATCAAGCCATGAAAAGACATGGATGAAGCTTAAATATAAGTGAAAAATAAACCAATCTGAGGAGTTTACATACTGAATGATTCCAACTATATGACATTCTAGAAAAGGCAAAACTAAGGATACAATAAAAAGGGCAGTGCTTGGGCGCCTGGGTGGCTTAGTCGTTAAGGGTCTGCCTTCAGCTCAGGTCATGATCCCAGGTTCTGGGATCGAGCCCCACATCAGGCTCCCTGCTCGGTGGGAAGCCTGCTTCTCCCTCTCCCACTCCCCCTGCTTGTGTTCCTGCTCTCGCTATCTCTCTCTCTGTCAAATAAATAAACAAAATCTTCAAAAAAAAAAAAAATCTTTAAAAAAGGTCAGTGCTTGCCAGAAAGAGGAGGCATGAGATGAATAGACAGAGGATTTTTAGGGCAGTGAAAATCCTTTGTATGATATTATAATGATAGATATATGTTATTATACATTTGTCCAAACCCACTGAATGTACAATACCAACTGTGAACCCTTGGGGTAATTATGATATGTCAATATAGGTTCATCCTTGGAAAAAAATGCACAATTTTGGTAAGTGATGTCAATAATGGTGAAGGCTATGCATTTGTGGAAGCACAGGGTAAATGAAAGGGGTATATGAAATCTCTGTATCTTCCTCCTTCCCTTTTTTTTTTTTTTGAGGGAAAGGGAGAAAGAGAATTCTAAGCAGGCTCCACACTCAACATGGAGCCCAATATGGGGCTCAGTCTCACAATCCTGACCTGAGCTGAAATCAAGAGTTGGCTGCTTAACCAACTGAGCCACCCAGGCACCCCTTTCCTCTCAATTTTATTATAAACCCAAAACTGCTATAAAAAATAAAGCCTTTCTTTTTTTAAAGCCCTATAAATGAAAACTGAGATAAAAATAAAGAGCTCTTAGGGCATCTGGCTGGCTTAGTCAGTAGAGCATGCAACTCTTGATCTCGGGTCATGAGTTCAAGCCCCACGTTGGGTGTATAGGTTACTTTATTTATTTATTTATTTATTTAAAGATTTTATTTATTTATTTGAGAGAGAGAATGAGAGAGAGAGAGAGAGAGCATGAGAGGGGGAGGGTCAGAGGGAGAAGCAGACTCCCAGGCGCCCCTGTTACTTTAAAAAATAAAGACAAAATTGGGCGCCTGGGTGGCTCAGTTGGTTAAGCGACTGCCTTCGGCTCAGGTCATGATCCTGGAGTCCCGGGATCGAGTCCCGCATCGGGCTCCCTGCTCAGCAAGGAGCCTGCTTCTCCCTCTGACCCTCCCCCCTCTCATGTACTCTCTCTCATTCTCGCTCTCTCAAATGAATAAATAAATCTTTAAAAAAATAAAAAAAATAAAGACAAAATAAAAAAAAAATAAAGAGCTCTTTCTGATTACTAAAAAACACATCAATAGAAATATGGCAGAGAACATATGAAAGTATCCCACATAACACAAATTGAAACACAAATGTTCGATAAAAATATTAAATGATGTTTAACCTTGTAAACAATAAAAAATAAAATTATAATCATGAAATACAATTTTTGACTTATTACATAGGCAACTATTTAAAGGATCAATAACTCTAAATGTCAGGGAACGAGCACACTAATGTTGGTGGGAAAATAATTGGGACAAGTTTTCAGAGCGCATTCCAGAAACAGAGTATACAACTATATGTGAGGAGTACGTTTTTCAGTTTGACACCTGTGAACTCAGTATACGTCCTACAAGTGATGGCATCTCAACTGTTGTCAACCAAGCAGCAGTCATGATGCAGTTGTCATTGCCTCTGCATGCATAAATTGGTTATTATTCCTGGTGGCATGATAGGACAACAGCAACACTATGGTGTTTCAGACATTAAAACATCATTTGAAGAAGGAATTTAAGTCATGTTTATGGTCTGGAAACTTCCCTTTGACAACTTCTAGTATTGTTAAGAGAATACCAGATTCCAAAAATACATAATTTGAATCTACTCAAACCCAAATTGAGAGACACTGCACAAAATAACCGGCCTGTGTTTTCTGAAAAATGTCAAGGTCAAAAAACAAAGAAAAACTGAGGAACTATTCCATATTAAAGAGGTCTGACCACTGAAAGTGAAGAAATCTGAATATGGGCTGTGGATAACAGTATTGTATGAATGTTCAATTTCCCAAGTTTGAAAACTGTGTTGTCACTATATAAGATAATACCCTTGTTGGGGTGCCTGGGTGGATCTACTGTTAAGCGTCTGCCTTCGGCTCAGGTCATGATCCCAGGGTCCTGGGATCGAGCCCCGCATCGGGCTCCCTGCTCTGAGGGAGGCCTGCTTCTCCCTCTCCCACTCCCCCTGCTTGTGTTCCCTCTCTCGCTGTGTCTCTCTCTGTCAAATAAATAAATAAAATCTTAAAAAAAAAAAAAAGAATACCCTTGTTTTTAGGAAATACAGACTGAAGTATTTAGGTGGAAAAAAGGCAAAATGTCTACTTCTCTCTCAAATGGTTCAGGTAAGGGTGGGAGCAATGAAAAGACAGACAGATAAAGAGGTAGATAATTAATGACAAAAGCAAGGGGGGCAAAATGTAAACAAATGATGAACTTGGGTAAAAGATATATGGGAGTTCCTTATACTAGTTGCAACTTTTCTCTAAGTTTGAAATTATTTCCATTTTGCAGTTCTAAGGAAAGAATGAAAAGTGAAGAGAAAGAAAATACCAGCATAAAAACATATAGAATAGGTCATCCTGGAAATAATACTGGATGTCTTTTTTAAAAAATGCTATCTTGGGATGCCTGAGTGGCTCAGTCAGTTAAGCGTCTGCCTTCGGCTCAGGTCTTGATCCCAGGGGCCTAAAATCGAGTCCCACATTGGGCTCCCTGCTCAGTGGGGAACCTGCTTCTCCCTCTGCCTGCCGCTCCCCCTGCTTTGTGCTCTCTCTCTCTGACAAATAAATATAAAATCTTTAAAAAAAATGCTATCTTGTCAACATGCACAAAAAATCAGACAACAATAACTGAGTCAAGAGTTGATTCTTTGTTAAAATATGAAGACATTTTAGGAATTCCTTAACCAATTTATTTTGCCTGGGTACATAGACTAGTTTAGTCTAGGAAGTGAATACCACTCAGGCGTCCCAAGATAGCATTTTTAAAAAAAAAAGACATCCAGTATTATTTCCAGGATGACCTATTCTGTATGTTTTTATGCTGGTATGTTCTTTCTCTTCATTTTAGAGTGATTTTTCCACCTTTATTTTTACACTCCTGAATATGTTGATAAGAAACATGTATTTTGGGGGTGCCTGGGTGGCTCAGTTGTTAAGCGTCTGCCTTTGGCTCAGGTCATGATTCCATGTCCTGGGATCGAGCCCCGCATCGGGCTCCCTGCTCTGCGGGAAGCCTGCTTCTCCCTCTCCCACTCCCCCTGCTTGTGTTCCCTCTCTCACTGTCTCTGTCAAATAAATAAATAAAATCTTAAAAAAAAAAAAAGAAACATATTTTGTAATCATCAGACATATGTAAATAAACCATTTTAATGGGGAAAAGTATATTAAACAATAACAGAGTGTTAAGCCACAGTTTCTAGTGATTTTTGTTCTAAACACATTATCTTGATTATTTAACCAAAATGTTTTTTGTAGATTTGTATAAAGTAAGGAATAATTTCTCAGAGACCCAAAATGCAGCAAAATGACCCAAGTATTATTTGAACCAAATAAATTAATATTGGGATTAAGTAAATTAATACTGAAACTGATAAAAATAGAGAATAAAATAAATTCCATATGTGAATCTAGAAAAAAAAGTAAATCAATTTTAGACTGAATTAGGCTTTCTTTAAATCATATTCATTTCATTAACATTTTAATGTTCCACTGGCTTTAACTTCTTTCTATATGGGACATAGCCTAGTTCTATTAGTTTTTCTCTTTATTCTAGAATTCAGTATTATTTTATAACATACTTGGTAAGTATTAAGGGGAAACTTCTTTAGGAAATTTAGATGCTTTTTAAATTTCAAAAATTGCTTAAAAAAAGTAATTCTTACATTTTTTAGAAATATAATTATCTTTGCTTGCTATTTTAGCCCAAAACAAGGAAATTCTACACTACAAGATCCTAAATCTTCTTCTTGAAAGGTAAAGCCTACATTATTAAACTATCCAATTTGATGAAAGAATCATTTTAAACTTGTCCCAAGACTTACCATGCCATGATTCTTCTGGAAGTGAATGACTTCCTGGTCATCTTCAAATGTACTACCCATTACCATCTGTGTAACAGACTTCATAGCAAAACCAAGCATATGCTGGCCGAGGGGTACATGCTGGGACTCTGGGTAGGAGAGCCATTTATCTAATAATTCTTCTGAAAGCTGAAAGAGAACAGAAAATCACAACAATTTATTATTTCTTCTTGCTAAATCTTGGAAAAATTCAGCAAGCAGATTAATTTCACAGTTCAACTCTAATCAAAGTAAACAATCAGGTGTTTACTTAATTTGGCTAACACTGGCTTCGCGTATAGTTATACCCTCAATGGTTCTGGTTCAGATTCTATCAAAGGGTTGATTTGCAAAACAAAACAACTACCACAATAATAAAAACAAAAAAGATAAATTAAAAGTTCAAGAGCTGGAAAAACCTTAAACCTAAAAGAAATTAAGAGACTAAAATCTAGTCTCTAATTAAAAATAAAAAAAGTTCTAAAATTTAAATATATATAATAAATAGTAATAAATAAAAAATAAAGATTCATCACAGTGCCTGTGATACGGTAATCAATAAACATGAGTATGTAAAATCTTACACATGCTTCAATGACAGAAACCTCTCAGTCTCTGTCATTCCTTCATTCAACAAATATTTATTAAATTCCTTATGGAATAAAAACAATGGGTAGTAAAGAGATCAAAAGCTTTGGAGTCAGAAAACCCTTGGTTTTCCTTCTAGCTCTGTCACTCAGAAGCAATGTGACTTTGAGCAATTTGCCTGACTCTTCCAAGGTTCAGGTGTCTCAACAGGTAAAAGCAGATGACATATACCTTGTGTGGCTGGGGTGATAGGGATAATTATACCCATGTCATATGGAGGAAAGGTTTTGTGAGGTAATATACTTAAATTTAAGTTCCCTTCCCATATCAAATCCATGGAAATTTTGTCACAGTATAAAGGATTAAAATTAAGTGTTATGATTCAGAAAATAAATGTTCAAAATGAAAAGAATCACACTACATAGGTTTATACCAACTTAAAGTGACGTATCTGGAATACTTTTTTTTTTGAGAAAGAGAAGTTTTAATAATTCCATAGTATCAAGATTAATGAGTTGAACCAGTTAATATACTTTTTTATTTTATTTTAAAAATTTTATTTATTCATTTGACAGAGAAAGAGAGAGCACAAGCAGGGGGAGCTACAGGCAGAAGCAGGCTCGCTGCTGAGCTGGGAGCCTGATGTGGGGCTTGATCCCAGGACTCTGGGATCATGACCTGAGCCAAAGGCAGACGCTTAACTGACTGAGTCACCCAAGCGCCACCGAACCAGTTAATATACCTTAAGGAAACTCTTTGAGATGGGTGAAGTATGAAGAAAACAGGAAGATAATGATTAAAACAGAACATAATTACATAATTTAAAATTACTTTCAGGTTATGAACAAAATAATCCCAGATACTTTAAAAACTTAGAATTCTATAGTTATTACTGAAGTTCACATAACTTTATACTAAAAGGTGAAAAAAGATTTTGGAAACAAACCATTAAAGTGAGGCTATTTCTTGGCAAAATTAGAAGAGCTAATTTAAGTTTGAATATAGATAACCATGTAAGTTCCAAATGTGGAAGGTAAATATTGGCAGTAAACAAGCTTTCTTGTAAGAAAAAATAAAACATATTAATAGATATAAAATAAACCCGTAAGATTTCCTTTGTCACATATCAAAGTTCTTTTGCTTCAGAAAACATTATTTTCCTTAATAAACATGGGATTTTATCTCAAAACTCTAGCAAAAGTATGTAACTTGCAACCATCTCAGATTCCAGCATAGAACTGGGAAACCCAACTGAGTGTTAAGTGTTCACCCACTAAGATACTAAAGTGCCAGACCTTACCTTCTTCATCACTCAGTCTACTCCTGAATATCTAATCCTTTTTAAGTAAGTTGTCAGGCCAAACACCATGTGACAAAGCTACACACTCATAATTTATGATCTTAGTGTTGAGCCATTTTTTTAAATTTATTCCAAGTATCACATGTCAATGCCAAGCCTTTACCTTGATCCTTACATTTAAAGGAGAATTTACTTTGGTATAAAGTGTGCATTCCATTGATTTATTTGTTCACTTAATTTTCAAAATGCTTCCATTGTTGTCTCACACTTAAGTACATGTCTTTTTTCCACTGATTTGAAATGCCACTCATCATACACGGATTCCCATTAAGAACTTGGGATTTTTTCTGGACATTATCTATTTTGTTGACTACACATGCCACTATCACAACTCTGAAAATTTATTGTTATGTTTATGCATCCTATTACATTCTTTCTTTTTTGTTTCTTCCAAATTTCTATTTAAATTCTAGTTAATTACCATATGGTGTAATATTGGTTTCAGGAATAGAATTTAGTGATTCATCACTTACATTAACACCCAGTGCTTATCATAACAAGTTCCCTTCTTAATACCTGTCACCTATTTAGCCCATCCTCCATCCACCTCCCTCCATCAACCCTCAGTTTGTTCTTTATTGCTAAGAGTCTCTTGGGGTGCCTGGGTTGCTCCATTGGTTAAGTATCTGACTCTTGAATTCGGCTCAGGTCATAACCTCAGGGTCGTGAGATCAATCCAAGTCAGGCTCCACGCTCAGTGGGGAGTCTGCTTCTCTCCCTCTCCTTCTCCTGCTGCCCCCGCCCCCAGCTCATGCTCTCTCTTTAAAAAAATGTCTCTTATGCTTTGCCTCCCTCCTCCTCCTCTTTTTCCACCCTTCCCACATGTTCATCTGTTTTGTTTCCTAAATTCCACATGAGTAAAATCATACGGTATTTGTCTTTCTCTGACTTATTTCACTTAGAATAATACACTCTAGCTCCACCCATGTCAATACAAATGGCAAGATTTCATTTTTTAATGGCTTTGTAATATTCCAGTGTGTGTGTGTGTGTGTGTGTGTGTATACACCACTTCTTTTTTATCCATTCATCAGTCAATGGGCATTTCGGCTCTTTCCGTAATTTGGCTATCATTGATATTGCTGCTATAAGCATCGGGATGCATGTACCCCTTCAAATCTTTGTTTTTGTATCCTTTGGGTAAATATCTAGAAGTGTAATTGCTGGATCGTAGCGTACTTCTATTTTTAACTTTTTGAGGAACCTCCATATTGTTTTCCAGAATGGCTGCACCAGTTTGCATTCCCACCAACAGTGTAAGAGGGGTCCCCTTTCTCCACATCCTCACCAACATCTGTTTTTTACTGTGTTGTTAATTTTAGCCATTATGACAGGTGTGAGGTGGTATCTCATTGTGGTTTTGATTTGTATTTCCTGATGATGAGTGATGTTTAGCATTTTTTCATGTGTCTGTTAGCCATCTGGATGTCTTCTTTGGAAGAATGTCTATTGATGTCTTCTGCCCATTTCTTAACTGGATTACTTGTTTTTTGGGTGTTGAGTTTGATGAGTTCATTATAGATTTTGGATATTAACCCATTATCAGATATGTCATTTGCAAATATCTTCTCCCATTCTATAGGCAGCCTTTTAGTTTTGATGACTGTTTCCTTCGCTGGGCAGAAGCTTTTTATCCTGATGAAGTCCCAATAGTTGATTTCTGCTTTTATTTCCCTTGCCTCCAATGGCGTGTCTTATAGGAAGTTGGTACAGCCAAAGTTAAAGAGGTTGCTGCCTGTGTTCTCCTCTAGGATTTTTTTTTTTTTTAAGATTTTATTTATTTGACAGAGAGAGAGACAGCAAGAGAGGGAACACAAGCAGGGGGTGTGGGAGAGGGAGAAGCAGGCTTTCCGCTGAGCAGAGACCTGATGCGGGGCTCGATTCCAGGACCCTGGGATCATGACCTGAGTCGAAGGCAGATGCTTAACGACTGAGCCACCCAGGCACCCCTCCTCTAGGATTTTGATGGATTCCTGTCTCACAATTAGGTCTCTTATCCATTTTTAATTTATTTTTGTGTATGGTGTAGGAAAGTGGTCCAGTTTCATTCTTCTGCATGTCGCTGTCCAGTTTTTCCAACCCTATTTATTAAAGAGACATTCTTTCTCCCATTGGATATTTTTTCCTGCTTTGTCAAAGATTAGTTTAGGGGCCCCTGGGTGGCTCAGTCATTAGGCGCCTGCCTTTGGCTCAGGTCATGATCCCAGTGTCCTGGGATTGAGCCCCGCATCGGGTTCCCTGCTCAGCGGGAAGCCTGCTTCTCCCTCTCCCACTCCCCCTGCTTGTGTTCCCTCTCTCACTGTGTCTCTCTGTGTCAAATAAATAAATGCAATCTTTAAAAAAAAAAAAAATAGTTGACCATACAGTTGTGAGTCCATTTCTGGGTTTTCTATTCTGTCCCATTGATCTATGTATCTGTTTTTCTGCCAGTATCACACTCTCTTGTTGATTACAGCTTTGTAATATAGCTTGAAGTCTGGAATCCTGATGCTTCACTTTGCTTTTCTTTTTCAGGACTGCTTTGGCTATTCGGGGTCTTTTGTGCTTCCAAACAAACTTTACGATTATTTGTTCTAGCTCTGTGAAAAATGTTGGTGGTATTTTGATAGGGATTGCATTGAATGTGTAGACTGCTTTGGGTAGTATAGACATTTTAGCAATGTTTGTTCTTCCAATCCATGAGCACGGAATTTTTTCCCATTTCTTTCTGAGCGCTTCCATTTCTTTCATAAATATTCTATGCTTTTCAGAGTACAGATCTTTTACCTCTTTGGTTAGGTTATTCCTAGGTATCTTATTGTTTTTGGTGCAATTGTAAATGGAATTGATTCCTTGATTTTTTTTTCTGCTGCTTCATTATTGGTGTATAGAAATGCAACAGATTTCAGTACATTGATTTTATAGCTTGTGACTCTGCTGAATTCATGTATTAGTTCTAGCAATTTTTTGATGGAGTCTTTCAGGTTTTCTCCATACAGTATCATGTCATCTGCAAACAGTGAAAATTTGACTTCTTCCTTACTGATCTGAATGCCTTTTATTTCTTTTTGTTGTCTGACTACTGAGGCTAAGACTTCCAGTACTAAGGTGAATAGTAATGGTGAGAGTGGAAATCCCTGTATAGTTCCTGACCATAAAGGAAAAGCTCTCAGTTTTTCCCCATTGAGGATATTTGATGTGGGTCTTTCATATATGGCTTTTA